TGCGATATTTTTTTTCTAAGTTTGGCCATCTCTTTGTCCTTTCAATTTCAGTTCTTAAATTCATCAATCAATCCTTTTATTTATATGATAGGCCTGCATTTAAAATGAACATTTATCTCAAATTAAAGATATATTATATTATTAGATATGTTATTATAAAACATGCTTTAGTTAAGGAGTTATTGATACTTCAAGTGCAAAATAATAACAAAAAACCTTGATAAAAATGCACTTTTAAGTACTAATCATAAATCCTCAAACAACTCTAAATATTTTGGATTTTAGGGGATTTAAATAATTTTATTTTATTGTTTGGTATTGATTAGTACTTAAAAATATATTTTTATTAAGGTTTTATATCATAATTTTGCACTTGAAGTATCAATAACTCATTAACTTAAACATGGTTTATGATAACAAGTTTGATAATATAATAGCTTTAATTTATGGTAAATGCTCATTTTAAAAGCAAGCATATCTCACAATTCAAAGGATTGATTGATGTGATTAATTATTGAAATTGAGAAGACAAAGAGAGAGCAAAGCTTGGAGAATAAATGTTGGTTTTATGCCTGTTCATGGTGCAGTTCGGTTCGATTTAAGCCACAAAAACCAATCAAACCGAGTTACTTATATTTTTTTAAAATTCAAACCGAATTGAATCAAATTTTAGTTCAAACCGAACCAAATCGAATTTCGTTTCAGTTAAATTTAGTTTTTTGGCTTAAAAACTAGGATACCTAATCATGGATGTGGTAATGGAATAACATGCTTTCATGAACAGAGAATCCAAGGCTTTGGAAGTTTCCCTCTCCATATGCTTCCTTTTTCCCTTTAGTTTCCCTTTCCTTTATCTTCCCTCTCGGTACCATTTGGCTTTTCATCATCCGTCTCTTTGCTCAATAATGGCTTCTTTTTTAAATGGCTCCTTTTGATTTACTTGTAGTTGATATAGTACAATCCATGTCCTGAAGATGGAAGCACTGTCAAATATGAGGAGTAATGTCAAAGATGGATAAACTTTACTTGCCGTCTTTTCTCTAATGGAGAAGCCCTCTCTAATAACATGTTTGCTTTTATCTATCTTCCAGTCCATAGGGATTAAGGATCTCCCAAAAACCTCAGGATCGCTTGCTCAATCAAGGTAATTTGAGAAGTGCCTAAGGCTATGAACCAGCCAATTCTACTGAGTCAGGTTTCTGTTGTAAGTGAAGAGAGAAGCCAAAGGTTTTTGTTCGGCTGCAAGTTACTAGATGGATGTGGAGATGTGAGTTATTGATTTACTGTTTGGCTAGAGAAGAGACAGATATAAGGGGTAGAGACATAGAGTGGATGAAAATTGAAAGGGAAAGGAAGAAGGTGATAAATCGTATAAATCGTCTCTGTTGTGGGCGACGGTTTTTCATGTAATGTTATCAATTAGGGTTAGGTTTACTGTATTATTTATAGGTTATTATTAACTTTATTTTATGGGTGGATCGATTTGGTTCACTGGTTTTAGTGGTAAAACCAAAACCTAACTGAATCGGCAAACTTTTATGGTTTTAAAAATTAGTTTAATCTGTTTTCCATCTTAGTTTAGTTTTCTTGGTTTTTTTGATTTTTTTGAACACCCTGATTAATACTTAAAAGTGTATTTTTATTAAGGTTTTATATCATCATTTTGCACTTGAAGTATCAATAATTTCTTAACTAAAGCATGTTTTATAATAACGTATCTAATAATATAAGATACCTTTAATTTTTGGTAAATGTTCATTTTAAATGCAGGCCTATCATATAAATGAAATGATTGATTGATGATTTTAAGAACTGAAATTGAAAGGACAAAGAGATGACCAAACCTAGAAAAGAGATGCCGGTGGAGTCCAAACCGGAACACTGTTCGGTAATTTGGTCATATCTGGAGCTGTAGATCTTAGATTTAGGTCTACTTTATATGGATGGAAAGGTAAGACATAGGCCTACAACTTTCATATGGAGCCTAAGATCTAAAAAGGCCATTTTCAAGTCCAAATTATTGCAACAACAAAGAAGCCCAAATCTGCCGTCCAAATTAGAGCAAAAACAAAAAAGTCTGAATCTGTCTTCCAGCCCGAGCACTGTTCAGTATTTAGCCAATATCTGGAGTTCTAGAAGTTCAAATGACCTGAATCTTTTACACAAGAAAGCTGAGATAATTTTCTACAACTTTCATGTTTTAAGTGGCTTGAATTTTGATGTGATCAATGAAGTTTTGGGCAGACAAGAGAAGATAAGGATTGTCACCAAGTCAAGAGTTGGCCACCCACTCATCAATTAGTCATCAAATCAATAGTTCC